TTGCAACAGTCCTTCCTCCCCCCCCCCCCCTCCCCTCATCGTCTATTGTAGCTCTCATAAACAGCTTGACGACAAACTTTTCCCTGGCGCAAGTTTGCCGTCAGCGTCACAGACGCACTTGCACTTTTGGATTGAAATCTGAAAACATGGAAATAAACAACGAACCAGACAGAAACCAGTGGTGTTTCAGAACTACGCTCTGAATAGAAACAGCGACGTCGCCTACATGAGTAGTTGCTGATCTTTCCAGAACTCCATGCACAAACTGGCGCCTAGATCTCACGCTAACTTTGATTATATTTGAAGTACAAAACTTAAGTGCCATCAAAATATTTATTCATACCTCAAGTGCCAGGCACCGCAAAATATTTATGTCTGACTTTTAGAGTTCATCTTTCTTGTTCTAAGTCCTTTTCGGACTTCGGTATACTTGAAGTACTCGTACTGTGGTTTTTCCTGAACAACAACAACAACATACGCACTATTTGACATTCGCTTGTACAGTTATATCTTTCACGAACATATTCCCTTATGAAACTGCAGGGAACTTGCCAACGCGGAAAGGTTTTCAGTCTTCTTATTCTACAGCTGATCTTTTTTGGGATTTTTAACATCAATTTAATTAATTCTAGGAGGCAAAATTTGGTTAATACGTTTTTGTGTTGTTCCATGCAAAGGACATTCTTACTCGCAATTGATCACTTTGGGTTGACTACATTTACCGCATACCAGAGACCGGTCTTTCTCTGACCAAAGTGCAATTTGTGTACAACTACTGAGATAAGTATTTTTAAATCTTTCAGTAAATATATAAAAGCCTTTTCAGGCAATCTTCTATCTCCAATCCTTCTTTTCTCCGGCTCGTATGATCATAAATATCAGCTTTTTTTATGAGAATTCAAATTATTTGCTAGCTCAACATTTTCTAGAATGAGCAAAAAGTATCAATGTGCTGGTTATTTATTTAGATGGAATCGTGGAGAATACTTTGGACAAGAATGTGTAAGACATCCTTGGTTTGCAGATTTAGTTGTAAAATCCCGCAAACCAATCTTGAACATATAGCAGTTTTTTAAGCTACCAGATTTAACCTAGTTCAATCAATTCAAGTTCAAGCAATCATCCGACTAGTTTTGTTTGATCGTAAAACGCTTTGTTTCGCAAATTTTGCATGTTTTGCTGTAAGCAGAAACTGATTGAGTCCACTTTACTACTGTTAAGGGATAGGTAAATAAAGCAAGTGATAAGGAGGCAGAGTAAGCTTGTTATCGCCTCCATAGGAGTTCCAGCCCTGCTGTTAGTATGCTAATCTGTATATGTACTTCACATTACAAAATAAAGTACATTCTATTTACTAATTTCTTCCATTATTTTTCTACGCTTAATCCATTTTCGTAAATCTCATTTTTCTTCATTTTTCTTCACATAATGCAAAAGCAATTACTCTACAACTACGTTTTCGGATAAGATGTTTTTATTCTGAAACTGAATTCGTGTTTGAAATAAAATTTCCTTCTACCCATATCTAGCCTCAAATTTTTACGAAACAGCAAAGATTGACTCAGCTAGAATTCATAGTTACATTTGTTAAGCATTAGTTTACATGATCAAGGCCTACGAGCGGCGTATCGAGGGAAGGGAGGGGGGGGAGGGGAGGACGAGAGGAGATCGTGAAATTTTTCAAAGTTACCTTAAATCATTTATTGTGCAAGTGACATATAAGTGTAAATGATTTGTAGAAGATTCAAGTGTCTTTTCGAAATTTTGTAAAAATTGTAGCAATGTAAGAAAAACTCGGACGTGGTCGCCGTTCTGTCCCTTTTTCTGAAAATTTCGGTTGTAAGCCCACAAAAATCTTTGGAAGCATCCCAAAAAAAAAATCGGAGTTCGTGGCTAACGCGCTCACCCTCATCGGAAAATTTTCTGCCTACCCATCCCCCCCCCCCTCCCGAAAAATTTCACGGCGAAGCATTCTGAAGGTGCTTATAGTGAAAAAGGCATAGAATAGAAATATGGTTAGGGGAAGCCGGCATAGACATTGGATCCACCGTAAAAAGGAAAAGAAAGGCGAGTTGACCTTAGCATCAGCATTATTAGATGTAAGGACTGTCGTTACTTTCACTATTCATTGGATTTATTGCAGAATCGTCAAGCTCATATTCTATGTGGTATTATCAGTTATCTATCTGACCCTCCAATTACTTGTATTTTCTTTGGTCGAACAGTCAAGAATACCAAAATCATGAGTGATACCTGGAATTTTTTTACTGCTAGAACCTCTCATACGCGAAAAGGCCATACAAGGATTATCCGAATAAATCATAACGAGTTACGCGACCTTTGATGATGACACCGATAGTATAGTATGAACGGAACGCACACTCATGCATAATCCTAACCACCAGCATGTTCGAAACTTTTATCGATCGCAGCCATTCTTTCGGAAGTAAATTGCGAATCTCTTAATTATTGTATCAGAAAAAACTTAGCTCTGCAGCGAATGTACAAAACTGGTTTGTCGTCGGTTTGATGTGACGATTCGTCGCAAAAAATAGAAAACGTCTGTCGAAACGTCATTCATTCTGTATGCGTTTACCATCATCGATGTAAGATCTATACCCATTGTTTACTTCTCGCTAGCTTTCATTCACAGTGGCTCTTCAATTGTTTACTTCTCATAATTTTTCGAATATTCCGCTATCACATAGTGTCTTTATGGTTGCACAATCACATAACGGTTGAGATTTTTCTGAGCAAACGTCAACCCCTTTCTGCTACCTACACGTCACGGTTTGCTCATAAGTCTTACAAACCTTTTTGAAAACTTCCAGTCTCCTCCGGTTTCGACAATTTCTTTGTTTATTTTTGAAAGTGATAATTTTGCAAATCTTGGTACCATTAAATAGCAGTGGCAATTTTTTGTACCATTACTTAGTAGTGGCAATATTGGTAGTAAAAAATATTAGTGGCAATATTGGTAGTAAAAAATATAAGTTACATATTGTTATTAACATTTTTGACAATAAAGATGAAGAAAAGAGTTGATAAGGCTGAATGAAAACATTTGAATTAATTTTCTACATTCGTGCTTGAAAATAACCAAATTCCCAATGAATTCCGAATTCCGGGCTGGTGGTCGATGTTCCACAACTTACTATAAATTTTCAGCCAAAAAAAAAGTTTGAAAAATTTACCACTAATTCGGAAAGTTTGTTTCTACAATGAATCCGATTTTGTTCTAAACCTCTAGCATGTATAATCAGGTACAAAATGCAGTACAGCTTCTTGAAGTATTGGCATAAGCTGCAATTTTCAGGAAATATGTTTTTATATAGTTTTTGCGCAGAATTTGCGGACCAGACTAACAATTTGAGTCCTACAATTCTTATTCTTTTTCGAAATTGCATACTGATCTATTCTAAAACACAGAGTCCGAAATAAAGTGAATACGCCGAGAAGAAAATTGTCTAAATTGAGCATCAAGCATCCATTCCTTCGTACTTTAGAGAAAGATACTACAATACCGCTCATAATTTGTCAAAAAAGTCGCCGGACTGCGGCGCACTCCGCCGCACTCTGCCGCAGTGCGCCGGAGTGTGGCAGAGTCCGCCACACTCCGGCGCGCTCTGCCACACTCCGGCGCACTGCGGCAGAGTGCGGCGGAGTGCGCCGCGTCCGGCGACTTTTTTGACAAATTATGAGCGGTATTGTAGTTCCTAGCATGAGAAATTCGCAACCCATTCTAATATTGCTGGATTTATATATAAAAATGGTAGGCCAGCGTAGCCTTTTCCTCACTTTATGGGCTACTCTTTGCACTTGTCAGACATGAACTCTTTCTTTCCTTATCAGTCGGTACGACATACTTTTTTGTCAGTTCAATGACGGATTGTCTTGCATAAGCAAAAGGAAAGAACAGGACCATAATCTTGCGATTACTACCAGAATAAGAACTAGTTATTTTAAAGCTTATTGATTCCTGCTACTTTACTAATTACTAATTTATTCGAGAAGTTTCTTGATCATGGAGTGGTATTCTTACAATTCTTTTTGTTTCAAAAGTTTGGTAAAGAGAGGGAATTTAATCAAATTGGTGGTCTCATTTTTTAGCCAGTGATCTTTGACGTGCCTGGCCTTTTGTTTGCAAATATTCCTTCGATCACTTGTGAACTTGTTTGGAGACGTGGTTCAATGCAAAGTGAAATAACCAGTAACCCAATAGCTGCAGTAATTCGAAAATATGCTCAAGGTAACTAATTTATGTAAGACAGTTTCGTATTGAAGAAGAGGGAAGATGGATACTAGGAAAGGAGAGGAGGTGCGGAGAACCCTCTGGGTATTAAAATTAAACAAACATCTTGGCTTTACTTGTCATAATTGCAAAAACTTTATTGATCTGACAAAGATCTCTAATTTCTAAAAAACTTCCGCTAGCAGTAGTTGCAAGCTCTCAAAAATTATGGCTCTTTTCTCAAAAAAAAATTTCGGTTTGTTCAGAAAAAAAATTCTGCAAATTTCCTTTCAGAATGCAGTCATCTTCCTCTGATTCCTGGAATTTTTTTGGATGGCTGTAAATTTCATATTTGCCAAGACAAGCGCTAGAGATGGCCTTTTGTAGTTTTTGAATTGAGCAGTTTTATTTAGGATCAATTTACCTAAAAAATTCGTTCTATTCGTAAATTGTACGAAACTCATTGATTTTTGCTGTTCTGCTCAATAATTTGTAAACTACAAAAAATGTATCATACTGGGTCACCAAGTTAAAAATTTGCCAGTCATTCGTGTAGAAGTATGTTCTACCACACGAATTCATCCACTCCATTCTCACTGTTTTAGAACTCATGATGACACAGCTAATTTCCAAACTACCTTTCTCTTCCATCACAAAATTGCCACCTCAACAAGTGGTCCCTTTTTTCTCCCAAATGCGCATTTGTGAATCGTCTCTCCTGAAATGATTTGTTCGCTGAATGACGTTAACAGTCGAATGTGCTTTAAGGCGCGAGACAACTTCTCTTCTTCCACTTTCATCGGCCGAACAAACCGAGAACGTTGCTAAACTTTGATTGTTCTGCATGCCACCTGAATCATCGCTTCGAAAAAATGGTAACGCGGGGAGGTAAATCGCTTTTTCCTTTGTTCCATTTATTCGTTCAGTTTTTCTTTTACGGTCTTTTCACTTTGCACTTTGAGTGCCGAATGAGGCTAATATCACTTTCTCACAATCCGGTTTTAAGTCAGTGTTGGAGTGAATTTGGATACTTTCGTTTCTTGTCTGGGAACTGCTCAGACAATCGCAAAAAAAACTCGGGGCAAACTGAGCTACTAAGACTTCCGGGCGGACGCTCCTATTGGTCCGTGTGACGTAGGTCATGCAATAGGAGTGCTCCTACGGAAGTCTCAGAAGCTCAGTTTGCCCTGGAAGTTCCTTTGCGATTATCCGAGTGGCTAAGAGGTCTTGATCAAGCCAATATTCAAGCGACAGACCAATACGACTCATTCTTGCCATGAAATCCAGCACGAAAGCCAGCAATCTAAATCCTCGCCCACTACCGTACTCCATTCGACCGATTAGTCAGCATCCCCGAGGGCACCGTACCGGGCGAGAGTTAGAAGTTGACCATATATGAGTGCTGCGCTTGGTAATGGCTTTCTGTTTAAGCCTCCCAAACAGATCCACAAAAGAAGAATAGGCAATCAGATTTGCCTGGACGAAGCCTTTAATGGAAGTGTTGTATGTCACGAAAGGAAACAAATTCATAGCCACATTTTTTGTCTGTTTTCATCTACAGTGGATTCATGCCTAACACTGTTTCAAAGTACCTAGCTCCAAAATGTAAAGAATTTTTACTATGATGATGAGAGTTGCAACAACAGATACATTTCTATGAAAATTATTCACCATAACATTGAGAATGGCATTATTTCGCGAAGTTGGACGTATTTCCAATTTTTAAGTTCATATCAAATAAGTTTGAGATTTTCCATAAAGTTAACCTATTTAACCTACTCAAAGGTAGCGTTTAAACTTACCCTAAACCCAAAGATAAGAGCGGTTTAATTTACCGGTAAAAAATTAATTGGAAAAATTGAAATTGAATGCAGTCACCCCTCTAACTTGATGGATGGATATATAAAAATCGGAGAAGAAGTTTAGAAGAAGCTCCGCCCCTCAACTCTGAACCCCGCCCACTTAATAAACAATTCATATAGAAATTCAATTCCGTTAAAATCGCTATTTTTCTATATGAAATGTTTATTAAGTGGGCCGGGTCTAGAGTTGAGAAGCGGAGCTTCTTCTAAACTTCTTCTCCGATTTTTATTTATCCATCCATCAAGTTAGTGGGGTGACTGCATTCAATTTCAATTTTTCCAATTCATTTTTCACCGGTAAATTAAACCGCTCTTATCTACAGGATTTTAGGGTACTCCAGATTACTACTTATCCTACTAGCAGGCTCTAAAAATAGACCAACCGCGTTGGTTCGGCCCATTGATGTTGCCTACAAAAGGAGATAACTGGTCGGATCCTCTTTGCCTGCTCCGCCCCTTTTTTGCGCTCCGCCCACCCGCGGATTGCCCCGAGACGTGATCTGACATGAAAAAGAACGTCGTGACGCATAGTTTGTGATGTGGCACTGTTGCACACAGCGAGGTTTCCTGCTGCATGCGACGTGACTGGCGCCGGGGCACTCGCCACTTCTGCCAAACTAGGACTTCAGAAAAGGGCAATTTTAAAGTTTTTTCGGTGGTTTCAACTGATTTTAACCTCATATCCCAAATCAGCGCCATAGAAAGGCCCGACAACAATGAAAACATGGAAGACGAAATTTTGGATGTACGCTGCTTTTGAGACGGTTGCAATACTAGCACAGACTTTAGCCCAAGGGTGACTCTGTAAATGTCCACTAACGCTACACTATTTATGTTGACATCATGAATTACGACTTTATCTTTTTAATCCCTTAGACGACTGACCAAACACAGTAGTTCTGATCAATAACAACTGATACGAATGTCAATCGTCATTGTGAGTGGACCAATGCATCTGAAATTATGCAACGAAATTATTCCGTAACCTTATTGGGCGTTAATATTATATCTCCGTTTCTCTTACAGATATTCCCATATCATCGATTGTTTCGACATCTAAGTGCAGATACCCTTACCATTTTCAAAACACAAACTCACAGTTCACTGCACATTCAATTGGTGGAGGAATATTTGTTCATTACTTTGAGAACTATAAATGTAGCTCTCACTCTCCGTCCATGAAATCGGCACCAGGTTTCTCAATGTGCATCGCAGGAGTTGTCCAGGCAGTAACTTATTCTCAACAAACTAATTCTTTGTGAAATTTGTGAAATTCCGAATAGCTTTGAAAAAACTTCAGTGGAAACTCCCTTTAGAAACTTAGCTCTCGTCCCTCTCCGCCTATGAAATCGGGACCTGCTTTTTTTGGCGCACTGTAGACATTATCTGCAAGTACTAATTCTGCAAAATATCTGAAGTTGAAAATTAGCTTTATAAAGATTTTGGGACACTATCGCCACACCCTCTTTCAGCAAGCTTGCGGAACAAAGTCGGAAAAACTTTCTAAAAAAATCTTTCTAGAACCGTATTTAACGTTAAGCCTTCTCATGCAGTTGCTCCTAAGTCGCCCCTTTTACCAGAAATATTTTCTGACTTATTTTTCATTTTTCTCATCCTTTCCTTCTCTTATTTCCACTCCGACCCCTTCTCCAATGCGCCCATCTCAGAATTTCACAGCATTCTTGAAAACGTATTTTTGGGTCTATGCTCGAATTAGTCCCTTTTCTTTTTTCCTTCTGTCTGACAATTTTTTCATTCTTATAAAATTCGACTCCAGGCGCGTCAAAAACGGGTGACAAATCCGCCCCAAAAAACGGGGCAAAATCCTTGTCTCGAGATTTTTTCAGTTATCTGATTCAAATACTTCCCTTTATTAGATTGAGAATTAGGGAGGTTCAGATTTATCCCAAATGTCGATGAAACAGCCTCTTTGGAAAGTAAACAAACATCTGGACCAAGGCAGGCGGTTATTTCTTCTAAAAGTTGCTGCGGGAATATTTTTCCCTCTTTCTTCCTAACTTTGCGTCATTTACGATTTTTTATCTAATTTTCCGGCATATGAATTCCACTGAATTCGGTAACTACTTCTATAGACCAACAATAATATGCAAAAGTACATAAAGCCACCCGTAGAGCCGTTCTCTGACCTTGCAAGAGTAAGATCGATACGAGGCAGGCCGCGGAACAGCTGGGTGTTTGTCAACTTGAATGCTAATAGTTTTGTCATGGTTTTTCTGCAGTTACACTCAAAAAATTTTATTGCAGTAGTGTTTACGTATTTTTAGGCGTATTTGATTAGTTTTACTGCTTTTTAGAAAAAAAAATACGGAATAGAAGTTGGTTAACTGGTGAGTAACGGCGAAAGCAGACTTGCTATTTCGCCAAGACGCTTTTTGATTCCTATGTAGATGATTTAATGAATAGTCTCATCATACATTCATTTAGCAAATTCCTCAGCTCTTCTTTATTCTTCCGATTTATGACGTCTATCTTGAGCAACATTTGCATAAATTATACGAATTTCTATGGAATATCGTCTGCAGAACGAAATTCTCACGACATCTTCCTTCACTTCATCAGAAATCGTCTATTTATTCTTCCCAAAATGCAAAAGAGTAAAATTGTATTCTTCACAAGTGTTTTTTCTTCAAGAATGTTCAATTCTCTATCACCTCGCATTTGGAGAGCTCTTCTCACAAAATTTTAATAATGCAAAATTTCACAATCTCTATTAATTTGTTCTCATTTATATTCTTGTAGTACTGCTGCGCCAGACAGCTTTGTTAGGTGTTCTTTATTCCATTCCAGACCTAGCGAACGTGGAACTTCTAACCTTTGGAGAGAAGCTTGAGAAAATCCTAACTTTTGAACTATTTTATGGCAAGAAGTGTGTCCAAGTAGCACTACCTCTTTTTTCTATATAAATGTGTCTGACTAGGTATGCAGAAATTATCAAGGAACCTGAACGTTGCAAAACTAGTTTTTGCATTTTTGGAAAGAAGTAGCCCAAGCTTTCTTTTTCAATCTGCAAATAATCCAAACACCTTCCCGCAACAATTCTTTTGAGCAAAGTATGTTCCATTTTATAGTGCTCCCAGAATCAAAGCTTTTTGCCTTCAAAAATGCTTTTTATTCAGTTCATTTTCATTTCTGTAGTGTGACTAGTTGGTATATGTTTAGCTAAGATGTGCTATTCATTAAATAGCAACCTATTCACTAAACAGCAAAATGATTATTTTTTCTTTGGTGCACCGCTAGTGTAAATTATGAATAATATAAATATAAGCATAATTTCTCCTGGCATTACAGCAACAGCTTTCTTCTTCGTTTTGTTCACGCTACTGCTTAAAAACCAACTTTTCTAACAGCATTCAAAGCGCTATAGTTTTTTCGGTGTAAAATCACATTAGTGCCAAGATGGCTAATTGTTTCAATCTTCTAAAATACTGCTTTCAAAGCCCTTCCTCACCTGTCATCTCCCCTCTACCCCTCTCCTCCCCCTTTCTTATAGGATGGTACCCTGTTACTGTATAGGCTGAAAGCTGCGAATTTCTTTCAGAACAACGTCCCACAGTTGGTGATGGCGTAGAGATCTGTTACAAATTTTATCCACGAACACGCGCCAAATTTTTAATCGCTGCCTCGAATTTATATTTCTCTCTAGTAAGTTATCATTTAGAAAGCTTTTCTCTCATCCAGCGAAAGTTTCTGCACATTTTACTTTGCATGCCCTTAGTGAAGACTGCGGAATGATTTATGGTGACAATTAACAGAATGTTAGATAAGAATGTACTAGATAACAATGATGCTAGGGCCTCTTAACCATCCACTCATCTGAATTTTCAAAATAATCTTCCCATTGATAAATAACCCTCATAAAATACTATCCTGAAGCAGAACTCGTAAAATTTGCTAGGACTTTGCAATCGTATACATTGCGTTGGCCTCTTAGGACAATTGTACTATTGATCAGTGCCAGTACCAGAGTTGTTTATCTGTGGAATTTCCTGAGCTGTAGTCTGAAAGCCGATTGAATTTTTCCCCATAAATCGAGATGTCGCAAGGTCTACATTGTATTTTACATCCTGTAAAGTGAAACCGAAAATTTCTTGTATATTCACCGACTCATAAGTTCTTTCTACATATTACACATACACCGTAAAATATGGTCGGGCTCCAAATTTCTCTCTCTTCTCATGTTTAGCAAAAAAGCAATAGTCTTGTACTAATGCAACAATGCTAGTTTCTCTTTACTCTTGATCAACGCTTCTATTCTCAAAATTATATAATTTCATAATTTTAGTTCATTTAGCAAGTTTTCGGGCGAGCTCTAGTATTAGCATCCACAAATGTTGCCATTATTATAGGAGGAATCGTTGTGCTACAATTCCCTCAAAATCGATAAAATACTCGAGTAAATCAAGGCAATCATTCAGATGTATTAGAGTGTACTGGAAGGTGGAAGCAGGTGGAAGTGGAAGTGTAGGTGGAAGCATGCATTTCTTTCTTTGTGGTTACGGTAGGATTACGGTAGCGCTTCTTTGAAGAACTTGACGCTGGTTTCGGTCAAAAAGAGTTCTAGAATTATAGCAGATAGATCATGAATGTTAATTTTCATTATGTTCTTGCTGCGGTGTTACTGTAAGATTACGATGTATCATGGCAAAATGTAATATAGACCATGAAAATCCATAAATCTATAGAAGAATTTCTTAACTGTCGTGACATACAAGAGACTCTCTGCACTACAAGTTCCGACTCTGTTAGCTCAGAATAGGCTAGAAAACAATGAAACGATAGGTATTTCTGGATTATTTAGCATAAGTCACCTCCCCGTCTCCTTCTCCCTCGGGTCCATGAGGTTTTCTGCAAAAATAATTCATTTAAAGATCAAGACTATTCATTAGGTTGTCCCATAAGTCGTATTTGAACTTTTGGATTGATGTTTTTCCAAAATGTGGCACCTACGAGGTTACAGATTTGTGATTGTATCTCTGGGGGATTAAGCTATATAACCACATGTCTGCGGGGAGAGCCGCTAGAGGCAAAGTTTGAAAATTCAGCGCATTATTTTCTTCTCTATCTGTAGCCATCAGAAATACCGCAAGGGTGTGTATAAGTATTCAATCGGGAAAGTATATGCATGAGCGAGTGGGATGTGCGCAGAAATGATTCGAACTGAAAGAAGAATACTTTCTTTTTGAGGATCCGGATTTTTTTTCAATTTGTCTTGAAAATTATTGCGGATCAAGCTTATTGCTACTATTAAACACCATCTTGCTTTGATCTGTCAATCGGTACCCCGCATCCCATTAAGAATAAAAGAAGAACTGACTTATATCGGTGAAAATTCCGATATGAAAAAGCTCATGAGACAACCTAATTTGGCTTAGCAGTAGCTGGCAGCCCATTTTGTACAAAGAAGCAATATCACACTACAGATACTTTTAACCCATTGGCGACGATGTGGACCATCGGTGGCCCACACACCTTTTTGCCGCCAGGGACGATATGGACCACCGGTGGCCCACACTTCTTGCAAAATCATATCCTTTCCAGGTCTGGTGTTTTTTCCACTTGCACTTTTGGAACTTCTGAACTTTGCGTCCAAGAAGATGGCTGTAGCTGTTTACAAAACATTTTTACATTCCGTAAATAATCAGAAAATTCTTTCGCCGAAAGTGTTGTGCAAAATCGCGTCGTCCCATAGTGCCGCCAAAATTAGGCGTGCCGACACATGCAGTTTTTTCTCTTTGTATTCAAGTTGGATTAATAATGGGAGGATATGAACGTGTCTCCATTGTACCGTATACCTCACTTTACCAAGGGTGATAATTCTCTTCACCATGAGCTTTTCCCGAATCTCTCAATGTTTTGCCAGACCCTATCCAGCTCAAAGTCAAGAATCAGGGAAAATTACAGCAGTCATTTAGACTTGTTGTCCTGAAAGTGATAAGTCACTGATTTATGCACTAGACGATAAGAAAAAAGTGTTGCAGAACTTTCTGGCTAAATGCCAGATGTTCAATGGCAAAACTCACTAGCAGCAGTCCTTATTTGCAAGCAGAGACCTTCGTTATCAGTAGATCGTTGGACAGGCCTGTAGCGTACCTAAGCTTTTATCACCTAGCACTTTTACAGCACAACATCATCTCATTGCTGCCCATCCCTTCTCTAACGTAAAAACTCTCCTCCAGCCTACATACTTTGTCGCGCAATAACTCTGCGTCTCTTCCCGCAATGCGATAACTCGTCCCCATGGCTGGCAACAGATTACGTAGGCATTTTGCAGTTTTTCACAGTTCGCACGTGTCGATCTGCCAAAGTTCGAAGACAAAGCTTTGATAAGCGTTGGCGTCGTCTATAAAACCTTCACTGATAATTAATGGCACTTGACGGCTTCCACAACTTCTTCATTCGATAAACCGGTCAAAAAAGTATATTTTTTTAGTATAGTTTTATGAGCTTTAATTTTCCTTCTACAAAACTGAGTGTACATACAAAATGAGTAAGAGACTTGCAAATTTTATTATTTGATCTCCTTTTTTTATCACACTTTCTTTTATACCTTGAGCAAGATGAGCGGACCAGGTTTACCTTGGAAATCCTCAGTAATGCGAAAGCCCTTACAAGCAAGTAATAAAAGCAACCAGTTTTTTATCAACATATTTTAAACTTTGGTCAAAAAATGAGCAAATCAAAATAAATTAAAATAAATGGCTGCAGTGCTGTTAGAACTGTTTCTTCTTTCTAAAACATCTTGTAATCTAGCATTTACTCCATAACAGCGATACTTACGTTGCATTAGATTTGATAAATAAATCTTTAAGAACCGCAGAAAATTCTTCTAACCCTATGAGTTTCAATTCTTCGAAAAATTTGCATTTGTCTGATTCTGATAACATTTTTTTCTCTCTGAGCATTCTATTAGGTTGATTCATAATTAATGCACGTTTTGAATTTCAACCGCAATAAGTCATACACTTTTCATTCTTACATAGGCTTCAAATTACCATTGGATAAAGCAAAGCAAGCTCTACAAGATGGCACTCATATCTTTGCGCCAAACTCAATCCACGGAGAGTTCGAACTCAAAATCTAAAGATTTCCAAATGCCCAAAAAATCGAAAAAAAATCAGATCTTCGTCCAAATAATTTCTACGGACCTCCCACTCGCTCACATCAATACTATCGATATCTGATATCCATATGTGCGATTGCCGTATTTTTTCCTTGACTAGAAATTGAGAAAACGAGATTTTTCCTGATTTTCTCAAAGCAATGCTGAGCCGTTTTTGCATATGCAGTTCTATACTACAAGCCTAGGTAAGCATAACTGCAGGTTTTCAGCCTATTTCGAACGGTACTTTTCGAGAAATGTCGATTTTAGCACTGAAACTGAAACGAAAAAATCCGAATTCGTTATTTTTCGAAAACTACCGCTTGGAAGGGGTTGAAAATCTACATTTATACTTACCTAGGCTTGTAGTATAGAACCACGTATGCAAAAACGGCTTAGCATTGCTTTGAGAAAATCAGGGAAATTTTCGTTATCTCAATTTCTAGTCAAGGGAAAAATACGGCAATCGCACATGTGGATATCAGATAGCGATAGTATTGATGTGAGCGAGTGGGAGGTCCGTAGAAATTATTTGGACGAAGATCTGTTTTTTTTTCGATTTTTTGGGCATTTGGAAATCTTTAGGTTTTAAGTTCGAACTCTCCGTGGATTGAACATGGCACAAAGATGTGAGTGCCTTCTTGTAGAGCTTGCTTTGCTCTATCCAATGGTACTTTGAAGCCTATATAAGAATGAAAAGTGTTTGACTTATTGCGGTTGAAATTCAAAACGTGCATTAATTATGAATCAACCTAATATTATATGCCTTTTTGATTTAAAGTACTATTTGCTAGATATATTAATAGTCTATATCTAGATCCTTGACAAGAATCAGTTTATAGGTACATCACAACTGTTTTCGTTGACTGGGGACCTTTACCAGAGGCGTCAACAGGAGACTTCACACCTCAAATGTGAGAAGTGATGGCATTCAGTTATTCCTGTCACTTTCGCTTTACTAGTTTTTTAGTGGTCTTTATTTCGGACAGAAAATGTGATTTTTGATTCCATTTTTCGTTTTCATTCTTAAGGAATTATGATAGACAAATGAACAAATTAGTAAATATAGTAAATAAAATACTGCGCATCAGTCAGAAAGAGCGTTTGATTTGCTTGAAATTTTCAACCATGTTATCATTTTCTTTTTTCCTCCTTCTTTAAGGTTTTTGTAATTTTCTTTTATGCGATTCCCTGATAATTTGACCCTATTTTTCGCATATAATTAGGTATAAATTTTCTCTTCATTTACATCCGTGTTTCAAAAAATTATAAAAATTTACATGATTATCGTTTTTTTCTGAGTTAAATTATGTTGTGCAATTACAGTAATCCATTGCAATATTAGACCTCTTCTTTCACTGTAGTTGGACATAATAACTCGGATATTTCTACAGTCCACTTTTTAGCCCTACGAGGGATCCACCATCAAACGGCGAAATCAAAATGGTCCCTATAACCGCAAACGGAACGCCATCGGAGAGTAAAGAAGCGAAGCCAGCTCAAGAAACATATGCAGAAGATGTGTTGGTGGAAATACCCGATATAGATGATGTAAGTGTCTTAAAAAGTAATATGCGTTAAATCTGGGTTCCTGAACTTATCATATGGACACAAATTAGAATTTGATTGAATTATTGCCTAAATAGCAGTTCATATGATTCAGTGGTAGTCGAGTAATGTCGCGCTAAACTCTCACCCATACCGAACCTTTTCACCCTAGCCTCGCTGGCGGGTACGATCTGGGCAAGAGTTTAGCGCTGAATTTTTCTGCCGAAATTGAATCTTATGAGCTGTTGCTTGAACAATAGTTTAGTTAAGGTCTCCTAATTAGCTCTCCAAAAAGAATGGATGGTCTAGATTGGTACAGGTGTGGCCTTTGAATTTCGTTTTATAAAAGACAGATTTATGTTCAGGGAAAATTCAGCTGGTTGAAATTATGGAGGTTTACGGGACCAGGCTTCCTTATGAGTATCGCCTATCTGGATCCGGGTAATATAGAAAGTGACTTACAATCTGGTGCTATTGGGCGGTATCAGGTAAGTTATTAGAATAACCTACCTTGTGCTTTAAAATATCTCATTATTTCAGCTCATTTGGGTACTTCTCGTAGCTCACATACTTGGGTTATTATTACAACGACTTGCTGCTCGACTTGGTGTTGTGTCAGGGAAGCATATGGCTGAGGTGAGTGGGTAACCTGAGACTGTAGGAGTACTGTAGCCCATTGATTGAGTATGTGATGGAAAATCAAAAAAGGGGGGAGAGGTCATTTATGGTGTAGCCGGTTAGAGAAGCGCGTATCCTGAGTGAACTTGAATCCGCAAAAATAGGTCAGGGGAGGGTTAGAGTGCCCTCTACCTAAGATGTGCGAAGAGGAAGCATGAGTGAATGATCAAAAAGACAATTTGCACTTCTAAAGTTCATCTTACAACTACACTTCTGTCTTCACAAACCCGAGGTCATGAAAGAGAGCACGTAAAGAAATCTAGGCCCAATTTCTATCGAAATCGTACATCAATGGGAGACTTCAAAAATTCTTGAGTTTTTATGCTCGTTATAAGGAAATTATTGTTGGCTCTTATCAAACCATTGCCCCAGTAGCAAATTCTAAGATCCAATCGCCGCCTGAAAATTTAGCCCCAAGCTCTCACCCATACAGTAATCTGGTGCAGTGCGCGAATAGGTCCGCTGGAGAGAGATTGTGGTCTGGGCGAGATTTTTGACGCAAATATGTAGTATTGGTTCCGACTAGCAATGACGTAAACTAATCTTCACGATTGTATCATTCGGGGATTCCAAGTTACCCATTAGAAGTAAACACCACACTGAGTATATGGGAACAGTACCCTTTGATTAAACCGGCTTGGCGGCAGGTGGGCGGGACTTCGTGACATAGTTACAGCTGGATAATGATCAGAGAGCATGCGCGCGAGAGAGACGCAGACTGCGTTGCGGGCGCGAGCGGCCCTAATTAGGTCACAAAGCTCCGCCTTCCAGCAGCCAAACCAGTTGAGTCAAAGGTTAAGGTTACATTACCAGTTGACTTCAGATTGCTCATTCCTATTATCCACGAGTACCTCGAATAATTTTATGGATTATGGTTGAAGTGGCCATCATAGCATCCGACATGCAAGAAGTGATTGGAACAGCAATTTCTTTATATTTGTTGACAGATGGATAGTAAGTTCAGTTTTTCTGCGTTACTAGGCAAAAAAAGAAATTTTGCAGCATCCCGCTCTATGCAGGAGTGTTGATAACGATGGGCGATACGCTCACATTCTTGTTTTTAGAAAGGTAAAACTGATCTTCATCCCATGCAGGCGGATTATTTTATTGACTGTGAAATTTAGATATGGTGTCCGCAAGTTCGAAGCATTTTTCGTATTCCTCATCTCCATTATGGCTGTAACATTCGGATACGAGTTTGTTAGGAGCGATCCAGATTTTGTGAGTACCTTCGCTAAAATATAGTGATCATTATTTGGTTTTTAGCTTACAGCATTGCTAATGACTTTTGAAAAAGAAACGAAATTTTGCTTTTGATTTTCATCAGTGCATATTTTCGAAAGCGAATATATTTTTTGGTTCAGTTCAGGTTAACGTTAAGTTAATATCTGCTCCAAGACGAAGGCGGTCGCCCAAATAGGTTGAAAACATGCAAAGCTGCGGCGCGCGCGCAATTGTCAACCACAGGACGCACGCACGCTCGGTCAGCGGTCATTCACGCGAGCGTGCGCGCGACCCGTGGTTGACAATTGCCCGCGCGCCGCGTGCGCGTTAGCCCTGCATGCTGTCAACCTATTTGGGCGACCGCCTTCGTCATGGAGGAGATATTAAAATCCTTCAGCATTTTGGACTGTCATGATCTGATAGGGTACTTCATTCAGAGAACGCAACAATTATCATGGCTATTGCATTAGTGGATCTGGAATTTTCTGCGAGACACCATTATTTTAGAATAAAATAAAATTCAAATTTGTTCGAAAAGCTGTGCAAAGTTTTTGCAGTTTTCGCGAGCAGGACCCTTGAATTAAAAAAAAAAGTGGGAAGGAGCTGGTTGGGACACATTCACTAAAAAAGCTTATTCTGAAAAAAGCAGACTTTTTAGTTTGCGAAATCTATTGCTGAAAATCAAAAATGAATACTTGCATATATCTCTCAAGTATACCACTTTGAAACCCTCCACTCCCCGACATTGCCTCTGTTCTGTGAAAATTAGAAATTAGAGTATTTTATCTCATCTTTAAATACCTTTCTTGGATTTTATGCGGAATTTATGGAATCTAAAGTAAGGACCACACAGCATCCAGATTTTTTCGCTTCCCCAGAACTTCGCTCCTGCACAATGTAGCCATTATTATAATTTTTCTTAGGGTGAATTGTTCACTGGTATGGTTGTCCCGTGGTGCAGAGGTTGTGGCGTTCGACAGTTCTTGCAAGCAGTATCAATTGTCGGTGCGGTTATCATGCCACACAATCTCTATCTACATTCTGCACTTGTCAAGGTATCCAAAACGTTCGGTGGTCCATCTTAATGATGCTTGAAATTTAGAGTCGCAAAATTGACCGAACAAAAGAGGAGCGAGTACGCGAAGCAAACATGTACTACTTTATCGAGTCGTTCTTCGCTTTATTCTGCTCGTTTTGGATCAACGTGCTAGTTGTTGCTGTTTTTGCGAAAGGGTTCTATGGAAAGACCAATGCTGATGTGGTAGGTCTATGAGAAAGTCGTTGAGACATTAAAAGCAAGACATCCTCCCTTTCTTCTGCTGTTTACGAACGCATCGATTTGGGCACATTTGCTCTCAGATCGGCAGCTTCCCAGGCCTGCTAAGCCTCGATAAGGTGCAATCAGCGTTCAGAAATCCAGAAAGGGAATGAGTGGATTAAGTAGTAGTCGCTTTGGGCGCGAATGTATGCAGCCGTGCAAGCGGAAAGGGTCCAACAGTGAGTACAGTAGAGCTACTGCTACTGTGGTATACAGCGTTTCCCACGAGGGCTTTTAGTCTGAATTTCAAGGTGGTTTGCGAGCCACTTCGCGTAGGTCTCTCGCCGCGTCCGCCCTCAGCGGATACGGTATTTTTCCATACTTGAGGCCTAGGCAATACCGTATCCGTTTTTTTCAAATATGGCACGCCTTGTGCGCATTGAATAAATAAATAATTGGCTGACAAGCTTGGAATGCCCCAAGACGCTCGCGAACGCGCCGAGTGGCCCTCGCGAGCCGGCTCAAGCCGTTCGACGTGACACTCAGACTGAGAGCTCTGTACCACTGTGCATTGCTTTCTTATTCGTAAGCTGAGAACTCCTTCAAGCATAAGAAAGAAGCTGCGGAGAGTTAACGAGTAATAAAGGGGGCGGAAACTATGATCGTAAAACGTGCAAAGACAGGCTACATAAATCGCTTCATGATATGAAGCCTGCTAAGAATGTTCAAGTCTTATGTAAAAGGTAGAATTAGAGAATTTACAATTTAGTGTCTACCACTACGAAATCTAAACAACTTCACTACTTCCAACCTCAGCCATCTTATACAATACTATTATCCTACTCCCATGCTTTTCCTTCTTTTCAGCGGCTTTTTTATGTTCCTAGAAGTATGGTAGAAATTCAGAGACCCCTAGTATAACGTGAGGGAAATTGTAGTTTAGAGCGTTTAGGCAAGAGGAAGGAGAGGAGAGCAAGAATCTTAGTTTAGTTTAGGGCGGTTTCTATATGCTCATTGCATGCTGCATGCTTGCTGCTCTATGACAGTTCACGACATTCATGTTCAAGAAACAATGTTTTTTGAACATAAATGTAATAAAAGAAACAAACGACAAAACACTGACACAATGTTCAGCTTTATAATGTAGTCACCCAGTCATAGTGCTGTTTAGAGGTACAACTGCTACAATATCGATAATCATATGCCAGAATTCTACAAAAAGGTCTACGAGAATAATACGGAGCCTGCGGACAATGACATATATCATGCTGGAGTATTCCTTGGTACTGTTGGTTTATCAAACCCCCATCCCTTATTTGTTCCTGTAATTATCGATAATTTCAGGTTGCACATTCGGAGTAATTGCTTTGTATGTATGGGCTGTAGGTATTTTGGCAGCTGGTCAATCTTCAACAATGACTGGTACTTATGCTGGACAATTTGCTATGGAAGTAAGGCTCTATAAAACTTGAGGCAATAGTGGCAATTGATGCTCTGCTTTCTAGGGCTTCATCCAAATTAGACTACCTCAGTGGAAACGAGTTCTCTTGACCAGGTAGGAAATTACTTTGTAAATTTGAAGGGATAGTATACTACCATTAGTTGGTGTTTTTAGGTCCATCGCTATGGGTCCAACGCTTCTGGTTGCCATTTTCAGCGGTGGAATAAATAATATTACGGGTTTTAACGATTTTCTCAATTGTGTACAGGTAAAGTAAAACACATTTTCATTTTTTTTTTGGTTTTCAGTCCTAAATATGTATTTTCCAGATGGTGCAGCTACCTTTTGCAATATTTCCGGTACTGACATTTGTGTCAGATGAGCGGGTCATGTTCAATTTTAGGACATCAAGGTTAGTGAAATTCTTATTGGGTTAGACATCTCACACAAGTGCGAGGGCCCTATCGCTGTTATCGGAGTGGTTCGGTGAATGCTTTGAGAAGGGGTGGGGGGGGGGAAGGGAATGGTGATTCTATTTTGTACGAAAGTATTCTGTACAAGTGCGATAGTTACTGCCTTAAGAAATTATATGATGGTGACCTCTTTGTGACTGAAGTGAATCTTGATTAAATTTCTGTGTGAACAGAAGTGGCCCAGATTTACCGATTTTTCTATCTGCCATGACAAAATCTTTGTTTTGAGAAAGTTGATCTACCATAATTCTAATATGTTGTCTTCGCATATTAGATGAAAACAGTTTGGAATGTATCTGATTATAATTTGTCTCTATATACTACTCTACCATGACTATTTTCAGGGCTCAGAAAGCATTCGCACTTACTGTTTCGCTGATTGTACTAGGAATAAACTTTTATTTCCTCTATGCTTGGGTGCAAGAACATCTTGGTCTTACCGCTCTTACAATTACTCTAACTTCATTACTGGCCGTGGTATACGTCATTTTCATACTATTTTTGGTGAGTTTTTTTGTTGGAAGTAAATCACACTAAATAATTACATGTGTTGAGGTTTACTATTGTCTGGTGGCGATGAGCATCATTCCGCGAGTTGATTGGGTGAGTCTTCTTATCCACACAAAGAAGTACACGGTATCGGCATGTTACTGTAAAATTATAGTGGATTTGACTGTAGAAACTATACACATAGGTGTGAAGAGTACTAGCTCAAGTTATATTTTTTGCTTCAGAAATATCTACCTGAGCCCCAATACCACCATTTCGACGCTCCTTGGCAAAAATCTGATTCATCTCCGGAGCGCTATGGCTCTTTTGACAACACAATAGTCCCATCGAATGCTACCGAAGCAGACGATTTATCAGCTGGAACATCGTACTCAAGGAGTGGGCCTAGTCGAAGGAACACCCATGGCGAAGATCGATGAGCTCTGTGATCTAAACATTCATGAAAGAATGTTGATTATTTATATAAAAGCATATTATGCACTTGATACGATTGTAAATTATACATGTTGTACATTATTCGAACGTTGTTATAGAATAATATTCTCTAATGATTGTTATGGATCTGCAGTGCTATCCAATAATAAATAGCACCTGGAATTGCTTCAATCTGTTCTGTGTTCATCTTTTCAAGGAAGTCTGAGTGCAAAAATTAGTCGTTCATCCACAGGCAAAATCCTATTAGCATCACGAAATGATGACTACCAAAAAGAAAGATAACAAAAAGGAAAGACAAGGATCAAATTGTATATGAAAAGTGTATAAAGTACATGAAGTATATAAAGTACTAGCTGCCGTCTCCGGTCCAGCCCGGGCGGAGGGTTTAAAACCCCATAGTGTCCATTTCAAATCATTTATGTTACCACTCCTCTTCCTTCAGTTCATGTCAGCCCTTCTTTTCCTGCTTCAGCTCCGAGTTGAACTGCAGCGCCGCTGTGGCATCCGTAGTGAGATTGCCTTCCTTCTTGACCGCCTCGCTCCGTGACACCGCATCCTCCTCACCGCAAAATGTAAATGATCTCTACCGCCCCTTACTACCTAACTTAGAGAAATAAATGAGTAGCTTTCAGTTTGCTAGATTTAAGTAAACAAATCAATAAATCGATGGAAGGACCTAGCGAATGGTCGCGAAAAGTAGCCTATCTTCTGCGCCGTGGCTTGTTCATAGGGGAGAGAATTTCAGCCTCTTCGGTTCACATACAAAGGAGTCTATAAGCCACAAATATCCTTGCAAACAAAGGTACAGTGTTTGAGTTTTATATACATATGTAGATACAAGTTTATGAACTGAATGCAAAAACAAGAATGTTCAAATGATATTTACAACTGCGTAAGTGTATTTGATCCAATGGGATTGGCGGCTAGAAGGCGGCCGCTCGCACCCTGACGCAGTCTGCGTATCTCTCGCGCGCGTGCTCTCTGGTCGCTTCCCAGCCTTGATTAGGCCCCGAGACCTTGCCTTCCAGCCGCCAACCCCACTGAATCAATGGGTACCATTTCATATCACGATAGTAGTGGTTACGTAAAGCGAGTGGGCGGAAGCGGTCTCACAAAAAGCACATATTGCCCTATTGCCAATACACTTGTACTTTTATTTCGTGAACATAACCAATGCAAATGTGGGAAAGGCTTTTCATTGACTAACTGAAGGAAATACGGCTTTAGCATTCTAGGAGCACAAAAGTTCTTCAGCACTCCAACTTATCGTGGATAAATTTATGGAAAGCTCTTTTCTATTCAAATATATTTCCTTGTAGTGTGTACGTAAAGGCTGCTGCCTGACGAAGGCGCAGAAGTAATATTAGTTGAGCGGGTGCGAACGCGGCGCGCACGTATCCTCACCGTTGTAAATCCTGCGCCTCAAGCCGCTCTACGGCTAATAAAGCCGCGATGGCGCCCAAAAATGTTGCGCCTTCATCATGCAGCAGGCCTTTACTCCTACGTTGATCGAGAGCCATAGGACTAAGCACACTTACTAGATAAATGCAGAGAAGAGTACCATTCAAAGAATTTTTATTTGTTAATCTTGCGGTATTAGGATAAAGGATAAAGGGTCTGGAGTCTTCAACACCTTCTGCGGGCATGCTCCGGGCGCATTCTACTTCTTAAGCACGTATGCACGTGCATCCTCGCTGGGGAGGGTGGGGGATCTGGGAGGGGATGGGTCATATCTCGCTACTCTAGATATCTTTCTTTTTCTTCCTCTATCTGGCCTATAAATGTTCTCACACCCTGATACCTGCGCATAATGGATGCCAGGTTATTGCCATATAAGATTGGTTTTTTGCCATTCCCCCGGGGGATCACCTTTCATTTTCAAAGTCATTTATCTTCCCGAGAACTCAATGAAAATGCTGCAAATTTTGTATTGAGGATTTACTACGGCACCGCTAAGCATGTTTCCGAGAGGAGAAATGGAATCTGGAGACTGTGAATTTTCCGATAATCCCTAGTCGGTGAGCAGTGGTTCATCGATATGCTGAGATTTCAATTGTTTCAACTGTAAACGTGTTTAGCAGTGCCTAGTATATCCAGGTACAATTTTACACCGTTTCATTGAGTGTCCAGGAATTGAATGGCATTGAAATTGAGAGGTGATCCCCTACGGATACCCTAAGGATCCCCAGGGATCACACAAAGTTGTGAAAATCTAATCAATTATGCCAATAACCTGGCATCAATCATGCGCAGGTATTAGGATATGAGACTTCATAAGCAAGATAGAAAAAAAGAAGAAAGATACCTAGAGTAGTGAGATATGGAGCATCCTCTCTCAGATCCCCTTACCTCCTCAGCGTAGATGTACGTGCATACGGGCCTTAGCCGAAGAGGCAGGTGATAGAGGCGTGCAGGCCTTTAACATGACTTTCGGGGCCAGCCGAGATCAAGTCAGTGCTTTTATCCTCCTAAATTATTCTGGTACAATTTACCACTTACCAATTTATTATGGTTCCACTTATTCCACTTTCTTTTTCAAATTTGAACAAACTCAATTGCGTTCGTGATTTCTTCTTCCTATTCCTCTGCCCTTTTTGGCTTGAATGGAGAAGAAGGAGAACGTCACTGAGTTCAAATGCCTACTTACAGTGACGCCAATTCTATGTGTCGCATCACCTTTTTGGGTATGAACTGAAGAAGTACAAACTAAATGTTTACAACTTTTTTAAGGGTCAGCTGCAATATGCGTTGTGCTTGGGTTCTTGCTATTCTGATGGAGTTACAATACATTGATTGCTCGCAGCTTGACACTGTTCGTGAAAACGAATCTGGCTTCTATTAAATGCTCCTTCGAATACTCTCAGTGCTTCGACTTCTAGACTATTCCTCCTTGCTGAGCATTCTAATTATCTAGAGATCGCTCCGTTGGTTCCTGCTATGCGGACGTCATAGTTAAAAGTGCCGGAAGTTGTCTGGGCCTGTAGTAAACCCCCCGTATGTGCTGACGTATAGCTCGGAGTCTGCTGTGACATGTGCTGACTACCATGGAGCGAGGCAGGCAAGGCGGCTATCCTTTATCATTGCCGGCGGATGCAATCAATGCGAAGCGCTAGGGTAGTCCCACTTTGTCGCTATATGTCGCGACATATCGCGATATATAGCGACATATTGCGACATGTCGTGACGGACGAGACGGCGAAATACTTTGTCCATCATGGAGACGCAGAGACATAGCGCAAGACTAGAGCTCGACTACGCCAACCTCGCAATAGGTCGCACATGCACACAGTTCTCTATAACGCACGTCAACCGCAATCAATATCAACAGCCGATAAGCGCCTAACTGTTCGAGGAATGCGCCTCTCCCTATTCTCTAAGTATTTCTGCTGCTGCCGCTTTGGTATTTGAAAAAAGGTGAGTTTATCTTAACTAAAAAGTATGTTAAACTCATACTTAGCCATATTTTTCGTACTTATGCAGTTTTTCTTCTTCATTTTTGCTATGCACCTTGTTTGAGCAAAAAGTCCCTTCTTTGTGCCAAACTTTCGCAAATTCTTGATCTTTTCATCATTCTTGGCAGTTTCGACCACATATCTTTGCTGGTTGCTGTTCGTTAAGCCATGCACCTCTCGTTTCCTTTCGTTCTTATGAGAAAGGACCGTCTGGCGTTATGGCTAATGGAATAGCCCATTTTTGAACGGATTGAATGCTGATGATAATATTTTGATTTTTCTTTTGCACTTTCAATATGTATTCTACTTTAAATTCCATTTTCTTTCAAAAAGAAAATTTTAATTTACGTTCCTTTGCAAAATGCCAGCAAAAAAAAGATAGTGTCGCATGGAACTTGTACCCCCCACCGTCTAGCACACCGGCCTCTCACACTGACACTGCGCTAACTACAAACTATTTTGAGTTGTTGAGCTGTTTCACAATAATTGCAAAAAGTAGTAGCTAACCCTTTAACAATACTTACGGATAAGGCATGCATATCGTTTTCCCATACTGATTTGCTGCAACTGCTCCATTTACTACATTCCTCTCCCTAGCAAAGCACGGCGTAGTAGCATACAGCGCGGCGAATGTGCGCGCTGCTAGACCATCAGTGTCTTGGCACGGGACTGGCACGAATCTGGCATGGGCTGGCACGCAGTTGGCTAAGAAGTTATGAAGGATGGGATTTATAATAAAGGAGCTGGCACGAATCTGGCACGGGCTGACACGCTCAAATTTTAGTGAGGGCAACAAATATGGTCCTGCCGTAGCGGATATTGGCGCTTCTTAATGGTGCACAAGGATAAGCACAATTCTGCAACAGACATTGATCAACTGCGTTTTCCTATCAATATTGATGAACATGAGATAATGAGTCAAAATATGGAGAAACAGGCGCGCTCACGCGAGGATGGTCAGTTATTGGATTTCCTCTGATTGATTTACCTGCTTTGGCAACAATAGTATACTGCATTCTTGCCTTGCTAAGCAAATACTCGATGGCATATCTGTACTCATAGCGCAGCGCGTGTGAGCGCTGTTATCGCGGTCAACACGGTTCGATGACGCGCGGAGGCGCTCGTTTTGCGGCGCCCTGCGGATAGCTCGCTATAGTCTTGCGAGATACTCCGAGCTATCACGACATAGTCCCTCTATGTTGTGACAACCACGAGGGGTTTACTACAGGCCCTGGTGTCCCACCGCATTTCTGCTAATCGATGCTTACGGCAGCTCGCCGCACCCCAAGAGATGTAAGTTTTCACTCGCTATAATTTGTCTGAAACTAGCCTTGCAGTGTTTTCTAGGAACCGATCCGATTATCAGTTCTAACCATCTGCTATAAACGCATTTTTTTATATTGCTCTGCTAACAGACGTTATCGAAATTCTATGCATATCCGTAGATTCTGGTATCAATTAAAAGTCGCCAATAGTTTGTTTCTTTTACAGGTTGTCGAATGCAGCTTATCGAAGGTTGAGTGCGGCATAAAGTACAAAAAAGATCTGTGACCTTCCAGCCAATTGGGATTGGTTGTTTGACGATATGTGGACCAGTTGCGTCAATTGATCTTTCTGTATAGATGGAAAGTACAAACTTTGTAGCTTTAAATGTAGTTTTCATGAATAAGTGTAGAGCAGTCTTTTTTTACCAAATGTTCTTTGCTTTGTATCTTTTGGCT